CGTTTCCGACCCATGGTATGGTGAATAAGAGAGAGATAGGCAAAAAGGAGTACTTTAATAAAGGCCGAGACAACCACAATCTAGTCAGTCCGTACGGGGAAAACAGGGGCTTTATATATCCTTGTCCTGTTCATCCTGTTCTCCCGTTGGTCCGTTGCGCGTCGCTACAATGGAGACGGAAAAGTCGTGAGCGGATTGGCTCTCAGCCCCCGGCGCGTCATTCAATGCCCGCACGCCACCACGCAGCCGGAAATCGCACCACCGGTCACGTGATGCCGCCTTCACGCCGTGCTCAACAACTTCACCAATATGGCCGCCGTCTGTCATTCCGCTACACCACTGTAGAATACCGGAGCCATAATTGGAAAAAGACCGGTACAACAGAACAGACTTTATTGACCAATCAGAAGCCGCAGCTACACACCAGGCGCCTTCCATCCGAGTCCACGATGCTGGCTGCGCCGCTCATTATATGCTGCACCTCAGTCGTGTCCTTCTATGGTTGGCTGCTTATCTTCCTCGCTTGCCATTGGAACACAGAGAGACACAGGATTGGCTGCAGCCAGGTGGTCCAACATGTCTGCGCCCCGATCCGACGCCACTGTAGAATACCCGAGCCCTAACAGGTAAAAGACCGGTACAACTGAACAGGCTTTATTGACCAATCAGAAGCCAGAGCCACGCGTCAGGCGCCTTCCATCCGAGTCCACCGCGCTGGCCACGCCGCTCTTTATATACTGCATCTCATCCATGTCCTTCTCTGGTTGGCTGCCTTCCTTTCCTGCATGCCTTTGGATCGCAGAGAGACACGGGATTGGCTGGGGCCAGTTGGTCCAACATGTCTGCGCCCAATTTCGACGCCACACCACACCACACTATAACACTACAGACATAAGTCTCATTTGAGTTGACAGCCACTTACAGAAAGTTCAATGATGACCAGCTCTTCGGGATCACCTCCAATTATTGGATTGTCTACGAGCCCAGTTAAATCTGCATCCGTTCACCGCTCAGATTCAGAATCGGTTATAGAATTTTTTCGTTGCTGTGTTTGTGGGTCACGGGAAGCATCCAGAATATTTTCTCAGTGTATGCACACTGTCTGTAGTGATTGTGTTGAAAAGGTTTCAAAGTCCAACGTATATACCTGTAGGAAATGCAACAACGATAGTGATAAGGTTTTAATCTCATTTAAAGTTATATTTCCTTGTAGTTGCTTACCAATGTGGTTTTATGTAAATTAACCCACGAAAATGAAACCCCAAATTGCTCATGGTGCGCCGAGGGTGGTGAAACGAATATTTCCATAGGGCACTGCGAGCAGTGTGGCCAATGGCTTTGTTCTGAGTGCATCAAGGGTCATAACAGGATGCCACCACTTCGATCCCATACTGTCAAAATTGTAGGAGATTCTGGTGGCAAAGGTTTGTTCTTTATTTAAAAGTATTTTTGTTGCTGGTGCTCTGCATGATTGTGAACTGGCACTTCTTATTGGTGTTATTATGGGAAACTGATTTACCTCGTTGGCGCATAAGCAACAAGCAGCGTTTGCACTTGTGGGTCTCTTGATCTCGTGTCGTTCTAGAAATGCGCTGGGATTAGTGCTCATTGCTGACCATCTTGTAGCCAGAGCACCAAAACTTGTTCCGTGCAGAAATGAAATTTTATTTAATTAACAGCTGATCACCGTGTAAAGGTTGCCTTTTAGACTAAGTATAAGTTTACTTCCTGGTCAAAATGTCGATAATTTACAGCACATTGTACTATTACCGAAGGTTTTATTTACCTGTTGCTATGCTTACTTTTATCGTTTTTAACAATGGTTATCAAATTAAGCAACTGAGATTTTCGCGTGCGTTAAGATTGTTCCAAATTGCATGAAACTTTTTTTTGTTTCTCCACATAATTTCTACTCGGTTCAAATGCTTGACAATGCTCGTGGATGATTTTCCTTAATATTTTTTTATTCATTTTCCATTGTCTACACCCTTATTCACATGTGATAATACGACTTTATGCATCTAACTTCCACTTTAGGTGGCATCCAATGTAGGACCCAGCATTTTTATTTTTAAGTTAAATTCGGTTCTTCGATAGATGAAAACCACTTTGGGGTTTTGCTTTTGCTTATTATCAACTAGGTGGTCGTCAACCCCTTCCTTGTAGCTATTCCCTCTTTACATCGTCTCGAGCTTAGAGATATGTGTTTTGACGCAAAATAAGGTTGAGTAAACGTCGTATTAACATATACTGGAGGTTTTTCCTACTAGGCTTACAATGTGAGGCCCATCCCCGCGAGTCGTTGGAGTTGTTTTGTGAAACATGTGGAGTGCTTACATGCCGTGACTGCCAGCTGTCGGTGCATCGTGATCATGGTGGCCATCGTTGGGTGAAAGAGAAGGCAGATTTACTGCGTCCAGGCCTCCTGGCAGCGATGCACTCCCTTGAAGAGCGCGCCGCGCAGTTGCAGGCGATGGCAAAAGCAGTCAAAGAGGCACCGGCGATTTTAAAAACCAGTGTCGAGGATGCTAAAGCTGCGCAACGCCGGTCTACTGAGGCTGTTGTGCGAGCCATCAATGAGCACAACAAAAGGCTAGAAGAAGACCTTGACGAAAAGGCAGGCCAACACGTGCAAAGACTCGAAAAAACCTATGCCATTTTGCAGTGTCTGCAGGTGTGTCTAATTAAGCGTTTTATGCTATATTTCTAATCTCTTATTTAGCTGCTTACCGCAATCATACCGAACTTTCACTTACTAGTGTTGAAATAACTCATTGGTGCACCCATACGACACCTAAGGCGCAAAATTATTTTTTTGTTAAGAGTTTTTTGGTCAGCTTTAGTGCTGTTGGAGTTTACATTAGCCTTTATTGCGGATTCGCCACTTGTTCCGTTACTGATCTGGGTACTGTAACCATCTGGAAATAGACGAGTAATGCCTGATTATGCTCTGAAACGTCGTAGCGCCAAACCTGTCGCCTACTTGCTGCTTCGACTTTGAAGGCCCATAATAAAGAGGTCAAATTTAGTATAGACCTTTTTTTCGTTTTGACTTGGGCATGCACATCTTGTGTTGCCTAACTACTGGCAACGATTTGTTTTATGGGAATTCCCATTATTATGGTTCGTCAGCCATCGACATCGGATCCATTTGTTTTTAGGATCAGATTAACTACATACTTCAGTTGACTCGTCGCCTTTTTGAGAACGGAGAAAAGGATCCCGCAAGCCTGGTTCAGCTCGCGGCCTGTCTGGAACGGCGTCTGGCAGCACTGGCTAAGGAAGCCACCGACTTGGCAGCCGACGACAACGCCCAAGCCAACATTAACGTAACGGAAAGCGCAAGGGGATGGCGTGATTCTGTGGCGTCGCGCGTCGTATTTCTCCCCAACCGATCACCTGAGGAAGTCGCACATCTTATATCCTCTGTCTGCTGGACCCATGATCGTAACGACGGAAAAGGCGAGCTAACCGAATTCAATGAGGTATGTTTCAGTAATTTTTGCACCTGTTAGACAATGTGTTTTGTAATTAGGTTGAACTGTTTATCATAATAGCAAAATACGGAGGCAAGTGTGTGCTTCTCTTAAGGTACTTCCATCAGTGTCTAGCCAGTCCGTTTCACCTTCCATGGGTAGAACTAAAGTTGGCGACTTAATTGCTCTTGCGTGTTCCACTGTTGTACAGCTACTATCATGGCATTGTTTTGGTCTCCTACGATTGTTGGAAAACACGCAACTGGGTTACTTGCTCGACAAAAAAACCGGTGTGTGAAATCAGGTGGAAGTTTCATAAATGGACTCAGTCCTTATAGCTTAGGCCATTGTCAAGTTATCCTCAAATAAGCCAACTTCGGTCTGACAATCAGGTGTCCAATATGATGCCTATTACGTCTGCGCTAAGGGAAGACATCCAAGACCCATCTGTGTTCAGGTGCTACCTTCTATCACAGCCTACTTTAATTGCTTAAAATCAGCGTACGTAGACGTGTAGGATTTTAACTTGTTGGTTTAAAGTCGCAAAGTTGGCGTGTTCGGCTCCGACAACGTCAATTAACGTTTATCAATAATAATGATAATAGTGGGTTTTTTACCCTAGACTGAATTTTATGCAGGGATTTGAAGTATGGAAAATTAAATTGCAATCAAAATGACCTGGAAAAAGTATGAGGCACCTAGTCGAAGTAATGGTATTTTGTAAAATCCCTTTGTTTTAATTGTGATTTTTGTCAGTGAAGCTCACTAGTTCTCAGAACTAAAAAATCGACCTCACTAATGTAAATAGTGGCTGTGTTTTTTTTATTCCCCTGTTGTCTCCAAAAATCTCTGTTAACAAAAGCTAGCAATCTGCCTTTGTTAGCCAAGACCTTCACGGCAGTGCTTTTTCCAGCAGCATTTAGATAATTATTTTGGGGGTTCTGAAAGCAACTCGTATTAATTCGTTGCTTTAATGTGTTGTTGAAAAGGTGTAGTATTTGAAGCAAGCTGACAGTGAAACGATGTCTTTGGCGGTTCTTAGCTTGTGAAATTAACTGCATTGTCTTATGCCCCATTTTCAAGTAAAATAGCAACACCTAAATTTGGGCTGATCGCCAAACTTAGTGACAATCTGATCTGTTGACTTTTTACAATCTCCATACGTACATACTGTTTCCGTAAATTATTATACAAGAGCAATGACTTGCTTGTGGATTTGTTTTCCAGTCCATAAAAGTAGCTGAAAATAAAAACTATTCACTGATCTCTGGTCCTCTCGTCTAGATAAGTGCGTCGAAATGCCGATTACGTCAACACGGTGAATGCAGCTTACAATAATGGTAAAATGAAAGTAGACATGTGATATACTGAAGTTGTAATAACCAATTAGCGTTACGTATGCAGCACACTTGATTGGGCTGATGTCTTTTCTAATCATATTATTTACTGATAGTTTTGTAAAAGCGTCGTGAATCGACGCACCCTCAAAGAATAAGTTTAATTAATTTTATTTGTGTGCTGGGTTCATATTCACAGTGGTAAACAGAAACCTATGTGTTTGTCATGTCATGCTATACGAGTTAGAAATGCGGTGAAATATTAATGACGTTTATTTGGAAGGCGGGGCTGATTTTAGAGCACTTAAAACGTGGTTTGGTCGATATCAGAATTGTGAATCTAATCTAAACGCTAAACTTCGTCCTAGGAGACCTTTTTGGCTTTACCCGTGATTTCATTAAGAGTAATCCTAGTATTACCCTTGAAGCTGTTGCTGAGAGACTTGGTGTTGTAGATTTGACTGCGTTTTACTTTTCAAAGTAACCAGGACACATATTAAGCGTCGATATATGGTTTCTGTGCGTTTTTGAGAGAACGGATCAAACTAAATCGTGTTTTCGTAGCCATTTCTCGTCTCGCCTGTCAACAAAACGATGTTTTCTTAGATCAGGTCGTGACCTGAAGTGAAACATGGTTTGTGTAAACCATGACAATAAAAACAAATTGAAAGTACAGAAGCGAATGGACAGCACACATCGCATTACCTTGACCCCCTTCCTTCAGATTTTCATCTGCTTCGTTCTCTGAAAAATTACTTGAGTTGCAAAAAAGTGGAAGAATTTTGAACTATCTTACAGGTTTCTTTGAAGAGAAATCACAGTCCCTTCAAAGCTGGCCTCCGGGGTCTTGTAAAACATTGGTAGGCTGTTATAGGAAATGGAGAGGACATTTGGAATGTTAAGATTACACTTTCGGAAACACATCGTAAACGGCTAGTTCCGTTAAACTAAAGATAATCAGAATATTTGAAAGGCATGTTAGTCCAATGTATCTCAGCTATTCACTCCTTTGGATTCCGTTGCTACTTTAAAGTCAGCTTCACTCTTTTGTGTTCCCATTTCCGTAGCATTCGTCCTTCGTGTTTACAATTACCCAATGACTTTAAAGACTTTCGGCCCAGGTCATGTACAGCCTCAATTTCATTGGCCACGTTTGACTGAATTCTCTAGTGCTTTGAGGGGTTGTTTGTCTCAATCCTTGTAATGGCGGCCCAGCTCCGGGTAGGCGAATCCCAACTCAATTCTCAAGTGTCTCTCGATTGCGGAAAGCGTCCCTTGTGCTATTTGGATTCGAGGCTGCGGAAGAGTCTGATGTCAATGAATTGAAAGTTCTTTAAGGCCCATAAAGTGCCTTGCACTTGGATTTGTGTATACTACACCTTGCTGTCATTTCCCATGCTTTAGTAACATTTTGTCCGCGTGACTAATTTTTAGCGCAAAATCAGTGTGGACATGAGCGACAAAAGTACTAATTCAGATTCCGGTGAGGGAGGAGACCTGTTGGACCTCATGACACATCTTGATAGTCCTCCACGTGACGGTGATGGGGGCTGTGCCGTCTGCCATTCACCTGGCGTGTTGGCCGTCTGTGCGGGTTGCCAGCGCTGCTTCCACCCTGCATGCCACCTTCCACGTTTCGACCCAAACAATGTCAAGTCTCCCGAAGCCTGGACCTGTTCTCTTTGCCTGGAATCCTCCAAACCGGAGACTAGCCAAACCCGACGAGTCAGGGATGCTCAAACCATGGGAACTGTAATGCAACCATGCAAATGGACGCGTGATCAATTCAAGGTGAGCAATCGTGGCTGCTTGCCAGCCGTTTTTGAGTTTTGTGCTGTAGAATTGGTGCTTCGGTTAATCGGCCAGGATGTCAGATGGTCTGATTTCCTGTTTTCCTTAATACCTTCTTAAAAATAGTCGTTAAACATTAGATTTGTAACATTTTGCCCCGATTTTTGAGGGCGTTTGAGGCCGAATTGGTGTGGGGTTGGTAATATTATTTATCCCTCAGTTAAACTGGGAGTTACACCATGGTATTAAGGTACTGGTGATATCACAAGTTCGGTGTACAATATGACTTTCGATCCCCAAAGCTGGTGATGTTTTGCTTCTTACTGAAAACTCAGAGGTTTATCTGCCAGTCTTTCAAGGCTGCGCACTTGTGCGCACACAGCAATCACCACCTGCGTATTCTTTGTTGACTTGCATATGCACGTGTCTTTTACGCAAATTCTGTATGCGGGTCTATCGAAAGTCAGAAGTTGTTGCATTATTGTTTGTGATCGAATCACCCATAGGGCCATTAATCCAGTAATGTTATTAGCCCATTCTTTGCACCCTATGGGTACTGTTGATTCGGTTACTGTAAAATATCCTTGTAAAGGTGAACCTCACCACAAAATATTTGTTTATAACCTCGTTTTATTTTCCAATTGCACCATTTTAACTGTGTTAATGATCTTATTACCACCGCAAATGGCCTTTTCATTACGTTGTACATCTATGAACTTTATTTCAATCTGTTTTACTCTGTATATTTGTGTCCAAAACGTCATTTTGGTATTGCTAGAACGCCATGTCCGACCTGAACCTGTCCGCGTTTTATCGTATTCCTCTTGCTCCAATATTCAAATATTTCCTATTTGCAGCTATTGCAATGCATGTTTTGAAACTTGCAGTTAACACCACCTTCATGTTTTCTCGAATTCCTTTAGTCCGGGTGCCGCATTTTACTGAGCCTCTTGTGTCATCCGGAGGCGGTTTTCTTCACGTCTTCCAACTTGTGTCCCATATGCTGCTCTTCGTTAGAAAGCAGTCACTCGGGGGTTTCTGGGGACGCGGAGGGACTATGTGGAGTATTTCACAGGTTCTCGGACCTTCGAGAATGTCTTGAGTCCTCTGAGACGGCAACAGGAAAGTCAATCGAAGCCTGGATCCAAGATATTGATGCCTTCATCGAGAATACAAGCATCCAGTCAAAGGAACTAGGGGTTAGTCGCAGCTCTCTAAATCATCGATGTCATTATAAACCTACCTGGTCTCCACACGATCAGGCGATTCCAAATTCGCCTTTACATTGTACGGCCTTTGACCAGGGGACTAGGTTAGCCAGACCAAGGTTTCAGTGTCACGATGTAATCTCTGTTTAAAACACACCAGTTACTAACTTTTGGTATTAAGAGGCCAGTAGCCAACCCTGTGATGATTGTGAGCTACAGGTTTCCAAATTTGAAGTCCACTCTCTCAACCGTTATCTCAACCTTCTTTTCACGCATCCTTCTTTTTTGTCTTTCAGGCGCTTGCAGTTACCCAGACTCTTGAGAAGGCCGCCTGCAGTCTCCGAGATGCCCTAGACGCTTCTGTGGAGTCCTTTTATCCTGCTTTTTTCCAAGCTTAACTATTCCCGTCTCTCTCGTCTCTGTACATATCTCTTTTCCACTTATCATACACCGTGTCTGCTCTCCCCTTTTGTATTATCGGGAAAAACTCCACTGTTGAATTGCAGTGTGGTGATTCGTTCGCAGCTGGAATCGAAACACGATAAATTAGTGCCGCTTCAGCGCGAGCAGCTTGCCACTGCATTCAACGTGTTTACCGGTATCAGCAGTGACTAAACCGTTAACAGGGCAATATCGATAAGTCAATGCCTTGGTTACTACGCTATATGTGGCTGCCTGTGCATTCTCGCATCTTTTGTGAAACCGTCAGCATCGCCAGTCGTCGTGACGAAAGTTGGAATCCTGTGACACATATCTTTGCCATGTCAGAATTCTAAGTTTGTTTGGATGGGTGTCAACAAGCGTTTTGATTATGTTTTTGAGAATAACAGAAAATCTGACCACTTTGAGTATTTTATGCATATTACTTTATCAAGTATTCAGGAACAATAGGGTAGCTTGTTGGTTCAGTGTTAGTCCTATTTGGCTTATTAAAGTGGGTAGGCGTGATTTCTTTTTTGGACAACAGACAGGACTGTTGTTATGTGGTTTCGGTGAGAAATTGACCGTCATATGCGTAGTCCCTGTTTTGCAAAAAACGCTTTACTAGTCCTAAAGCACGCTAAGAACCGGTGCCAATTAAGCCCAGGCAAATAAAAGTGCAGTGGTCCGGCTTTATTGTGTGACAGGCATTTCTACCAGTGGAAGTACTATTCTTAACCTGGCATACATTCCATCAAACAAATAATTCACCCATTCCCATTAAGCCAAAAAGAATACTGAGGCTTGGCTAAATGTCGTTAATGTGCTGCGTGGTTGTGGTAAAAGAGGTATCTAGATTCCTGGGGTTGAGGTGATTACTAAAACTAATCTAAAGGAGAGTTATTTCCTGAAATTCATGATTATTTTGATTTCGGGGATGTTGTTTGATAGCCTTCCTCCAAAATGCGTTTATACTCTCATGGGATGATAAGTAATTTTCGCAAATATTTATTGTTTTGTTCTCAAAGCTCCTATTACTTTGGTAACTAAACGCCTGTAATTCATTCAAAGTGAGGCAACAACACATCTAGTTCACGAGTTATTCCTGTGGCAAAGCATGCCGTCATAATCTAATGACCACGTGTCGCTCTGACCCGCAGCACTACAGCGTATCCATGCCGTCGATATCCTCTTTTCACCACCGCTTTTTTCTATTGGTCGAGACTTCTACATTGTGCAATTGGCTGATCCGGCGCTGCCGTTGTTGCTGTCGCGCTGCCGCACCCATGCTTGTGCACGAGACATAAGCGCTGGCCCATGTTGACACTTTGCGGTTAGTAGCAATGAGAGTGACTCATTATTGAGTGAACTGCACCTTTTGTATCCTGCATTACTCTATTTCGGAATTCCACTCTATTCATGGGAATTACCTTCGAGTTTCCTTCCCCTCTGAAAGTGGGCGATTGCATTGCTGTTCTTGGAGAAGTCGGGAATTCAAGGTCCGTTACGACAATTTGTTTTCTTATATTATTTTAAGCCACTTTATAAGTATGTGTTATTCTAACATGTTTACTGAGTGGTTTCATATAAAAAATTGATAATCCAACTAGGTTTCTTGCATTCACCTAAGATCAGGTAATTCAGTACATCAACTATTTATCAGGACTGTAAAAGTTCACAAAGTACAAACATGGTTGCCTCATTTAATTTCTTAAGTGATTTATAGAGTTTTAACAAAGAAATGGTTCCATTAAAAAAATTGGACAATAATCAGTAATTTTGAATGAAAACTCATTGGAGACTATTTGTAGTTTAATCATAAACAAAACCATCCATTATCGGTAGCCCTTTAGTAGACGTGTGATTTTAATTATATCATGATCCTAATAATCAACCACTATCATTTAATTTCGTTGTTCACATCGAAAGAACTAGATAAAACACCAAGGAGTGTTAGATGTAGGTTTGAAGTGTTTAACCACGTGCTTTCATTTGGTTGACTAATCTTACGGGCCGAATGCTCGTGTTCATGAGGATTGTAAGTCGGGATCACGGTTTATCATTTGTGGATCAACCCTATTTCTTACCATCAAATCTGTTGCACATAACTGACCAATCTGGGCAAAATACTGACTGCAGCGTCTTGTGTGAGATGGTTAATGACAAATCACACAGGTAAATCACTTAATTCAGGCCACCATGATGTTAGTCTAACTTTTCGACTTCATCCATGAACCTTGGACGCTTGGATAGCTAATGCGATGTCCCGCTTTCCGTGTATATAGTCGCCTTAATCAAAAATAAAAAGCAGTTCTAATGGCAACTTTCAGGGATTCTAAAGTCTTTTCAAGAAGTCTCGATCATCCAAAACCTGTCAATGCCACCCAGTGGGAGAATTGTGATCACTTAAAGGCTCGTGAAAATGAAATAAGATAGGTTTTATTAAAGTCTGCGTTCTGAAAATTTACCTCTTGAGTGGCTTACTCGGACGATCTCTCGGCCCACTGTCGCCCACCACCTCCTTGATGACCTCTGAGGCGATTTCCGATCCAAAAACTGAAAAGCATAGCCGCTGAATTCAAAGCGTTAGTATATTGTCATAAAGTGTTGGATTTAAAACACAGTGAGTGCTTTCTAAGTCTAATGTAGCACCTTGGCTCCGAAATAAAATTAGTAAATACGGTTGATGTAGATTTAGTTAACTTGTTATTAGCCATACCACTATGGTGTGAGACATTACATCGAAATAACTACAATAGGCAAGTAGAAGCATCGCATAAGTAAGTTACAGTTTAGTTTCAGTCCACCTACACTTATAAGTTTCGTCGTTGTCACTTAAACAAGGTTATTTTAATGCATCATTGTTGCAAGTCGCAACAACAACTACCACAAGTCATTTTAACCTTGGACTATTTGGCTAATCTGACTCCAAAATTGTTCACATGTACCCATTCAAAAGCATTTGCCATGCCAGAATCGTCGTTTTGAACCCGCTGTTTGATGTGCTGAATCACAATTCAACGTATTTCGTTGTTCCAATATGCCTATGGTGTTCTCACATCTCTATAAATACATTTTGCCATATAAAGTACTTTGCTGGATTCAGTCACTACATGTCACCCACGAATAATCTCAAAAGCGTTTCCTGTCTCGCGTGCAGTAATTTTCCATTTAATAACATCCTGCGGTGATTCGTTCAATTCAATAACGGCACAAAGTACTGATAAACCTTAAGGAATTCCTTTTTTTGGCCTTTGGAAATGAAGAGATCGCCATCTGCCCTTCATGTGGGTGGGTTGTAATGAATAATCTTCCTCAAGTAACTTTAGTTTAAAGAATCTGCAAAGACAGTATTCTGGGTTTGTGTTAGTTCCTGTTTTCATCGAGATTATCAATGTGCGTCGGTTAAAACATGATTCGAACGAAATACTGATAAAATTACAGCTCAACCACTTTGTAGCTATGCGTGGTTCCAAGTCAATTCGTTCATAATATACCAACGTCCTCTTATTTCACCAAGGTTTTCTCTGAGGCTTGTGTCAGACTTCGCGGCTTTTGATCCGGACATAGTGTCAACTCCAGCTTCTTCCGTAAATGACACCTTGCCTGTCGGTGACACGATACCCCTCTTAGTTACCATGGATACAAGCGGTGAGTGGGAGGTTTTCGGCTCCACTCCAGAGACCAGCTCGAATGCGTCGGGCTTTAATGCCTCTAGAAATGGCTTTCGGACCGGTGAAATATTCACGTGCAAAATCTACGCCAAGAAAGACCATTTCGAAGTATGTTTTAACATTTTTTCCGAAGTCCCTTCCTTTACTCTCTAATAAGATGAGAGATTTTGTTAAAAAAGTGTCCTAGTGTAAAAGAAAGCAAATATACACATTTTGCATATCTGATGAAAAGAACAATTGATAGAATGATTTTCAAGAATTATTTCCAGGAAAGTGCATATTGTCAAAGGTCTGCTGTAAACCGCGCCTGGTCAATTAGTTTGTCGTCATCATGAAAGTACCAATTTAACAACGCAACGCAAAAAACACTATTGTTTTTCGCTCACTGTGCTTGATGTCATTTTGGTGTGAGTCGGGCTCCGGCGTGGACAATAAGAAATATAATGACGCCTTAGCCTATACGGGGTAGTGAAGGCAAGTCCAACGTATTGGATCAACCTTGGATAAATCGAATAGGACAAGCTTCTGCCAATGCGCCACAGCCGAAGAAGTAACGCAAGTATACTGTACATTTTGCGAATGAATGCGAAACACACTTTGGAATCGAGGTGCAGTTTGGCATTTGACTTTGGCACCTACTATTAAAAGACATGTCGTTGCAGCTGTACCTTAAGAATTTGATCGTCCTGCCATTCAGCTAGATTTTATCTGTGCGAACGGTTTTACCGAACATTTACTATAATCGTGTCACTATTTCAATCTTTATTTAATAGATCAAAAGAAAGCGCAGTCGATTTTGATTCCTTCATGTAAATCTAATTGGCAGTTGTGCCTAAGAGGTGCGATGGTTCGACCTGTGATTCTTTGTTAAAAAAATGAATTCATTTACTGTTGAACAAATTTGATAGCTCTTTAAATCCTGATGTAAAATCTGTTGTTGATGCATCAGTGACTTTGGGTTTACACAGATTCTCGGGTTGGCAGTGAGAAAGTGTTAGTGGTTGAGATGGGCAATCATCACATTTTAATTGAGCCCAATTCTGCAGCTTTTCATATGATAGTTTGTTTTTTTAGAATTGGCTGTTTTTTATGTATGAAAACTGGCTTGCTATACACCAAATGTGTGTCATTCAGCGCTTTTACATTGAAAAATGCAACTGGTCATTATCCATAAACAAATTTATCCGAAGTTAATTCAACAACACAAATATTTACATTGTTTTATTATTATTATTAATCAAGAATCAACGCAAACAATCTAATTCTTCAATGATGTTGTTCTGCAGGTCTACTTAAATGGTGTATGCCTCTCCCTGTCAGAACACATGATTCCCGTGGGCTGTATTCAAAGTGTGATTATTGAAGGGGACTGTCGCATCGAACGAATGCTCTTCGGAGACAAACTCGCTGTAGAAAAGTCCTCCCGTAATTCAGTTAATACGATTCAGCCCAGACTGTCAGCTTGCAGGAGCCTCGCGCAACTAAACCTCGAGGAGGCTAAAGTAATTGAGTGTCTCGTGAGGGAGCCCAGCATCACCTCACCCTTTGGCAGTGCAGAATCACTTTTCCCCGGTTCCGATCTCGCGTCAATTAACACCAGTAAGGAGGAGGGGGTAAGCAGTCACTCTCCGCCCACCGGTACCGCCCCCTCACCTCCATTAGCTAGTCTTCATCGGGCAGGTTCCTACCAACTTGTGTTTGACGTCTCTGACGGCGAAGAAGAGACCCTTCCAGACCCCGTGGCTCCGAATCGCGCTACCAGCTGCTGTAACCTCAGCACCCCACTCCCCAACGTAATTAAACGTCCTTCACTCCTCGCTCCGCCTAAACCAGTCCCTCAGAGGTATCATGCCCTCCGAAAACTGGCCGGTATTCGGGACGAACTAAGTAAAAGAAAGTCAGCACTGCCAATGTCCTACGATTCGCCCACTAAGAGAGGTGAAAGTCCACTCCGGCCATCAGTCCCCAAAACCGGATTCGCCATCAAAGTGAGTCATCCAGTCGTCCAGGTGCGCGGTGCACAACCAGCTCCCACTCGCCGTGAAACTCCCAGTCGCTGTCTCCCTAACGGGCAAAGACCCCTTCGACCACCGTCTGCCATACCTGTCCATGTGAGGAATGCTACTAACAGTGGAATGCGCCGTCCCAGCCTACCCATGTCTATTCTTTAATAGGAAGAAGTTTAACTATTTTTTTGTATTTACGCAAACCGATTCAAGAGTTTTTTTGGTGTACGTTGAAAGTTTCTTATTTTTCATTGGTCCGTAAGCGTACGCATATTCTGATTCATCGTACCTAGTTCTCTTAGGGTGGTTACCAGATAAAATCACGTCCACATTCAAACAGCTGTTTCAGCCTTCAAGTTGTGTTAATCAGTTAAGTATGTTACCCACTACTTACAAATGAACTATTAGGTAATCTCGAATGTGTACCTTGCAATTTATAATTAAGACGGAATACCACGGACATCGGATCAGTCTATAATGGTCATCCTTAAGTTCGAGCGTCTGTTCATTTGTGGCAAATTGATCGTCCTCGAGGGACGTTCTGACTCCCACTTCATTATCCCCGTTGCAGGTGTCGGCAAACTTGGTATTAGTAGGCCGATGAAGTTGATGAAGTTGATGTGCGCGTTTTGAATCACCAAGTTTGAAATTTCGCCTAAACCTTGACAACTCCCATCCTCGAGGTGTTCTGTTCGAACGATCTAAATTTTCATGGTGATATTAGTAATTGCGAATTACAAATTCGCCAAATTAATCTGTCTTTGTCACTCGCAGAGATAGCACAAAACCACTAGTCGCAATTTAATGGTTTCAGTGACAAGTTGGTGGCCGAAGCATAATTCTGGGATGTGATAAAGTCGGACGCATCCTTTTACCGTATTTTTCACTGATGCAAAAAATGTGATAAAAATGCGGTTGACGGAGCATTCTGAAAGACCTTGAGGAATGCCGTCGACCGAGTCAAATTTGGATTGGGAAGAATAAACCTACAACCGTGTAAGATGTAGTCACTAATAACCAAACATGGATTCATTTCAACTATACAAAGTAATGCAGTTTATTTTGGTTAATGCTTCTTCAACTGGCAATTCCCATATGTAAAATGTAGTATCAAACCCTAAAAAAATGGGGACATATTACGATGTTCGAAGTTGGGAATAAACGTGAATGGTCTGTTCTATTGCAGCAAAGGCATCCAGAAACGTTTGTCGTGGGTCTTCAAGGCCAAATTGGGTATATTGGTGGAGGTAAGCGCTGGAGGTGAAGAGGCGCCAGGCTCGAGAGCGCACTAGGCGTAGAGGAGCGCAGACGTCGGACGAGGCAGCGTTCGCCTCGTCATCCTGTCCTGATGCCGAGACAAGTCCTCCACCACTGGTGGCGAGAAATAAACTTCGCGGGTGACCATTGAAGGCGCGACCGCAGGCGCCGGCTGACGGCATCTTGGGACAGTCACGCCAGGTCCTCGAAGAGGCGTCTTGCAGAAGGCCTGATGTTAGGTCCAACCATGTCTGATTGTCAGAAAGCAGTTCGGAGGCTCCGTCGCCTCGTAACACAGCAGAATAGGCTAACAGAGGCTGTCGCTGATAACCACGTAAAGAATTCAGTGAAACTGACCAATTCATGCCTGTTGTGAGAAAGAAGCAAAACTAATTATAATGTGGAAGGTGACCCAGTAATTTGGTTGGGTTCTTTGGAAATGAAATGGTTCAGCACAAATTTACGCAAAAGCAGCAGTGTGGTTACCTAGCACCATGACCTCAAAAAACCACACAAACGTTCGGAGTATGTGAGTTTCGACAGGATCATATTACATGAATTGCAATCAGCAGCTCATCTGGAAATCTAGGAAGCGGAGACAGGTGAGACTAAATCTAGAGAAGAGAGCGTACTATCGTCGACACAGGCGCCGGTTAGCAGGAGCTGTCTGCCGTGGCGAAAGAGTTGGGGCCAGGTCTCCGTGGCAAAGCGTTTCATCTCGTTTCGCAGGTGGTAGGGCAGACACCGAATTTGGTAGAGACGGAAATCTGATGGCCCAGCCAAATCAAATAAAAGACGCGACAAACGGCGACGACGCAACCGGCCTCCGTGTAATGTCTCTGAGTAGGGCTGTAAAGCATAGATCGACCTATCAGTTCAGCTCCCCAAATGCTGTTTAAAAATCGAATGCGATGAGTATCTCATTGCCTCGATGATGCCACCCACGAGAGCCAGTCGGCGACGAGTCCAACGCCATTGATTTTATCAGCTGATAAATTTCCATACGAGTAAAAATTACGAATTACAATAAGTTCGGCTTTTGTTAGTAACTTGTGTCAGCAAACGAAATGACCAGGTTGGTAGACGGGCTGCTAGGTGATGGAGCAAATAATATGAATGTACTCTACTGTGCAGCAGTATCTTGTGTTATTGCCGCTGCTCACTTCAAAAGTCGGCCTTATCCTCGATGGGGTCATGGAAAGTCTCCCTTTCAACTCATTCGGCATATGCGTGATTTATATTTTTTCCAAATATGGAAACACTAAGGTCTACTATGGGGATATGCATGATCCTTAGTAGAATTAAACAATGTTTTCTGAGATATGATTCTTGCAACTGAAATTATTTTATATAAATGAAAATGGCAGTAAACATGGTAAGCTGTATAAACATAAAGAGCAAAGAAAGCAATTGAATCAAAACCACAAGACACCAAGCCTGTGTTTAAAGGACTTCGTGCTACAATGGAAGAGGAAAAGGACATCAGACAAAGGTCAGAGTAGACAAGAAACTGTCAAGATTTCGAGTCGCAAGATAAAGGCAAATTCACCAACAGTAGCATCCGTGGAAGAGTACTACAATCGATTCGGCACAACGTCCTCAAAGAAATTGAGGTAGTCTCGGCAGCTCGCTAGACGGCGAGCTGCATCAAAAATTGCTACTGCAAGCCACGGATCGATGTAGGACTTTAGTGTTGAGCAGCGACTACACAGAACCACGGCCAGTCCATGCTAGGCATTGGGAATAGTGAGTTGTTGACAATTCGATCAGATCAATTGGTTGTCAAAATGGTCGTGTGAATGGGCCCTTATTCCCCATGGGCTGGAGCAGCTTTCGACAAATAGCTACCTCGAATTGGGGACAGATAGCATTCTTACAAAAACGAAGACCTTACATACAAGAAACGGACGGGAATCCAATTAAATTCAGTCGAATTAAGGTACAAAACTATAAAATTTACGCAGCTTTAATGATATTTAGATGGCCTGAATTATACACTTGACACTGTTGCCCCATGCTCGAATAAAGCAACTAAAATATGTAATAGAAGCGGGAATCAAGCATTAAGTATTTTAAATACCTACGCGATTGTGAGATGCAGGTAAACAATAATATGAGAATAGAACACAAAAATGACTAGGACAAGATAAAAATGCACCTAATTTAACATAAATTAAACGAGGTACCGTGCCACAATCTTTTAGTGCAATAAATGAAAATATGGAACAATTACCGCAACCGAAAAGGAGCTTTTTTAATTGTCGGTGGTTTTACAACCGCAGGCATAAACGGCAGTACAACACTACATATTGTATCCAATTTATATTTAGCACAATTATCTCTTCCAGCCAAAAACCTCGGTTTGAAGAACAGTATCTCCTTCAAACTTCCTCAAACGGTTACACTACTTGGTTATGGCGTATAAAAATTAAGGTTTGGAATATTACTTCCCAGTTCTACACGTATTCGCATTTTTTTGCACAATTACTGATAGATGTTCCAGCTAAAGTCATCTACTTGCTTGATTCAGTAGCCTTCAAGAAAACTTATGAAAAGTAGAAGTCGGCTGTTTACATACGAACAATCAGCTTGAAAGAGGCTTTCTTTGAAGAGGTCGGTCTTCCGGCATCAAACAGTATGACGGCCTCCCTTTCAACTCGTTTTTCATAAAAAGGCGACCTAGTATGGATCTGCTTTAACACCTGTTTAGGGGAAGTATTGACAAGACATCTTGCCGTAAAACAATTAAATTATCCACTGGAAGGTAATGAGTTCACAATTGTTACCGACCATGAGTACTAAAATAATGCTCCTCGTGCAAAAAACTGACTGATACTCTCTTCGCGAGTCCAGCTATCTTGACTCTGTCTAGCAAATCACAAACAGAATCTACCACGTTGGTGAGACGCACTTTCTTGTGGACACATTCCCCATTTCTCAGTTACTAGGATTGATCATGAATCGTTACCTGCAGGGCAAAGGAATTACACAAAAATATGAAAACTCCTTCGACATTGTTTTCGGACGAGCTTCCACTCTCCCCCCACACGGCTCTGGGAAAGGAGTGTGGTCCACATCAACATAAAAACCTACAACACTACAGCAAATTTTTGAAAACCTTGAGAAATTTATATTCACTTCATTATTACTAACTGTAAGAGACACTTAACAACACCAAAGTCTAATACGACTGTTGCACTAGCACGAAAATTTTTCAATGAAGTAAAAAAACCTTACTGCAGCATTACGAGAGCCGGCATCAATACTTTGCACAATTCAGCATGTCAACGTTCTTAAAATGTTACTTTAATAAATGTTCACGGAATGCAAACAGAAGAAAGGAGTAAAATTTGGACAAGGAAAAATCATATGCGGACCTGGAGCATGCCACCCAATTGATGTGCCATCAGGCGATTCAGTTCTGAGATGGGGACAGGGACGTTTTGACTGTCGGTGTCGCGACCAATTAGACGCCTGGCGCACGCCTGATGGAGGAGGTCATTTTCGTGAAAGAGAATCCCGTCAGGCCCCTCCCCCGGACCGGTTGCCAACAGGTGGCCCGCACTGAGCACAGCGTTATAGGCCTGAATGGAGACCTCGCCGCGTCTGTATGGCCAAACGAGCTGGGCTAACACCGGCACTTTCGGACAAAGGTCACCAAGATGGCTGAAGTGGAACATCCATTTATCACATTCTCCAAATGCCTCGTAAAGTATGTTAAGCCTCTAGATGTGCACCATTGCAAATAGGCCTGGCTTCATTTTTTTTATGATGACTAAATAGACAGTGCGTAAGTTAGAGATCAAAGCCAATCTAAAATAAGGTTGGTTTATCAGTATGACGAGACAGCGCAGGGGACCAAATACGCACTGGTTGTAATATAATACCAGTTACAAAGGCACACCTTACAAGTTGTTTTGATTAGGCTCCACTTAGTATCGATGGTTTTTGCAACACAGATTATTCTAACGGGAAAAAGGATTTTAATACACAGGTATAAGAAAATACTTCTTGAGTAATCAGTGACAATACTGATTTTGCGTAAAAATTAAAACCTTCGAAAAAATCATTACTGAGGTTAATGCTGACAGACAGATTTGGGTTTGAGTGTGGCGGGAACACTTTATTTCATGCGTGTCTGGTCGATTTTTGAAGCATAAAAGTGAAAATATGGCTGGTAGGAGAATGGGGACCTGTTAAGCCTGCGTTTTAGCAACGTATTCACTAAAAGCAGGCAGTGCTAGGTGAACTGTCTGGATGAGCGAGCACTAAAGTTAGGATTTCCTCTAGATTCCAAATAAGTACACCAGTTGTTATTATCATCAGCTAAGGTAATCTCTACTCTGAAAAGTAAAATTAATTCGCAACGTCGGAAAATTTCGATGAATGGTAATAATGATAGAAGACTCATGCTAAGGTAATCAACATACATTACAACTAAAATAGTTTTCACCATAAGGGAAACTATGAAGTAAGTTACAGTAATCACAGTCAAAATATCGGGTAGATCAGACGACATGGAACCCTTTAATTAGATTTGTAAAAGACAAGCAAGTTTGGAATCGCCAATCGCCTATAAACAAAAAAATGCGTTCGAACGCGTTAAAGAATGCCGATGCAAAGAAAGAACAAAGGGACAGGAATCTGGCAGCATTACACGATTTTAACCATGAACAAAGTGCGGGCTGACTGAGCAAAAATGCATTAAATACAAGTTAATCTTACCGAAGGAGGTAAGTGCCAACACCGGAGCCGGTTCCACCAGCAAGGCTCATTGCCGCAATAAGGCCATCCACCATATCACATTTTTCCAATTCGGTCATTAATTTATCACCGACTGCATCTACACATGATGGACCATTTAAAAGGTAACCCAGTGCCCAATTGTTACCTACAAAAGTAAACCGTAGCTTACCACAAGCGATAATTCCTTAAATTTGTAACCACAAAATAAGCCCCGCCAATAACATTCCCTACTCTTTTTTAAGGACAAATCCATTCGCTATCACTTAAGACATAATTGGAAACACAATCAGATATGTCAAATGCATTAATTATCTGAAAACGCTTTAAAATACACGTGTAATGCACGGTAATTTTAACCATTGTCTAATTAATAAATGTTGCAAATATGTGTGAATGTCAGCCTTTGATCTAATAAAACTCGCTAGCACGCATTGTGAAGAGGTTAAAAAGTTTGAAAAGGCTAACTAATCAAAAACGATTTAAAATGGTACAGATTAAGTCAAGGTATGGAAAGCTTACCTGATCCCCTTTTTGCGCAGAAGGAGCTGGGTGGATACCTCCAAGTACAATTACGTTCAGTTTCGACATTAATTTGTCGAATTACTTTTTCCTCCATGTCCACCTGAACGCAACGAGCCTCTGGATTGCTTTCTATTCGGTACAAATCTCCATATATGCCGTAAAAATACCTTCATCATGCTTGTAAAAAAAGGTTTCCAGTGATTCGAACACAAAATCACTTCTCGTCTGCGACTTTTGCATCACATGAACATCACAGCTATCGTTGTAAATCGTTCTAAAAAGTTCAGTTCCAACTTGATTTCCGCATTGTCCAACATGCAAACATACTACTGACATTGGCCTAAAACAATAACAATATTTGTGGATAAAATACTTAAAAACAGACGACTCAAGTGTGTGACGTGGCATAAAAAAGGACAGTAAAAGCAAGAGAGAAATAAGATATGACATGACCCCAAGAGGCATCCCCTAACCAACAAACTACTTATAAGTCGTTGTATAGTAGACAGATAAGGCATTATTACATGTCCACAAGGCACCATACGTATTTCATACAGAATAATTGGGTAGATAACTGTCATCCACGCCATAACTCAAAATGTGGTGAATCAAATGTGGGGCAGTCTAAAGTCCATTAACATGCCTACCATAAGAGCTCTAGCAAAGGTTAATGTGCTGCAGATTCTTATCAGCAACTAACAAACCCAATAAAACAAGGTAAACGGTTTCCTTAGTTCCATGTGCAAGGCTATCATCCATCGATAGTATGAAAATGCAATGTAGATAATAGCTTTATTGGGGCAATGGTTAGACAATAGAAAAGTTGAGGCAGCATAAAGTCAGCACGCAATGGCCCAAAATTGGACTATGATTCAGGGAAAAATTCAACATAACAAGCTTGCAAGTAGAGCAGATTAATATTGAAGGATCACGACATGAAAAACTAAGACTAATTAATTCGATTCCTTGCTTGACACGGTTTTACAATGATGAAAAAAGAACTAGTGTGGCATGAATATTAGCCCATTAATAAAACTAGATTTATTGAAAGCATACTCATACCCAAAATTGCTGTCAGAGGGCAATGAAGTGACATATAAAAGCACGTACATGATGAATGCATAATCATAGCATCACACCTAACGTACATTTCATGATTCTTATAAGTACATCAAAGGCTAATTTAAAAAAAGAGTAAGAAGAGGTAAGAAATTAACTTGTGGAAGCAATTATATAAAAGTCATGAAACTGGTTAGAACGACGTTAGACAATGCTGTTGGGATAAACAAAGAGGACAAAAGCGATAGTGCATCGTATGGAATATATTAATATTATGGAACAACAGGTAGCAACTAGAGCGATGAATATAGCACCAATATTTAAAAAAATCTAAATGCAAAGGGAAATGTCTGAGAGTCACGCTATCCTTCCTTCATGTAAAATGCGTTGCCATGGCTCCGACATGAATCAAAATTGCGCAGTCCAGTACTGACGACACAAATCTAAGTAAATAAACCAAGTTAATCAAGGTGATGCATGTAATAACCATAACCACTGATCTAAGTTCGATTAAATATGTGAATGAACAGGCGATGCTTGATCTTGTTATTTGGAGTCAGTGTTTATGCCAAGCAAAGAATTTGACAGTTCTATCGCCATTCTAAATTATTTTTGACAATATCTCATGTAATAATTCAAACTACGGAACGAGATGCATGTCTTGTAATCTTTAAGTTATTTATTAATTACCTTGTGCAATAGGCTCTTAAATTGCAAAAACATGTGACGCAAAATTGAGCAATTCATATAACTGTCATTTTTTACACCTTGGGATACCACCATGAGCTTTAAGTTTGCTAATAAAGTGGTGGTGATATAACGATATTTGGTCTGTCATGAATTCTAAAAACTAGATTTGTCAAATCAATTTGGTTACAGATTACTGGTTTGAAACATTCAGTCACCAGTGTTTCTGGGGCCCCTGTATGTGTTGTCAATCCAAATCGGGACCACCGAGTCGAATATGGCCTAATTTCGATACCCTTTAACGTGCTACGACAAATAAGACTAGAAGGGACGCAGACACAGCAGTTTAATTCAGAGCTAGGCAAGTTAGCGTCTTAGTGTTTTGTGTGGCACTTCCGTGTGTGCACTTTTACCTCAGATGTGTGAAACAGCTTGTGTAGTAAATGTGCTAAATTCAAGATATAGGTGCATATAATGATAAGTAGTGCTAATCGAACAAAACCGTTCATGCTAAGGAGGTATGAGTTAAGGTTCTGCTTGATTAAATAAGTGTCATATTAAACGGAATTCGTGTCGAAGAATGGAGTGCCCTGTTTGATGGGTACGGATCAACGCGGTCCACAGCAGTTTACAAAAATGGCTTTGGTGGAGACAACGTTTCATAAGTTCTATATATGAAAATGTGATTATTCCATTTTAAACCAGATTTATTTTGTTAAAGAAAATGTTGTCTTAATTACAAGTGACTTATCTTAAAACCCTATGGCAGTTTGAATATTGTTGATGTACAGAAAAGTAGCATTTAAAGCTAACATCAACGAGCATGAGATAATTTTTATTTAAAGAGGCATCAATGTCAACATTAAAGGCTATAAGAATAAGTATTAATGAAGCGAATGTCACTGGCAGAAATCCGTTTAAAATAAAACTAATTATTTAACGTCAAGATAACCTTAGATTTCAAAATGCGAAAAAGTGCTAATTCTGAGATAAATTCTGGTACTAACACCGACCTTTTAGCTGGCAGTAACTAAAAAATGCTTGCAATTATTTAATTATGCATGAAAATTGAACTAAAAATATCATTGAAATGTAAAACGTTTTGAAAGAATTTATTAAAATGAAAAAGAATTCTTGAAACTTGGTTTTCAAAATTTGCCGTTTTGTAAAATTTTGCATTGGTTATGAGTGACATCTAAACTTAAACTTTAGTGTCTTAATCAAGTGCGTAATTTGCTGCACACTTAATGCAGCACTCCAAGTTCCTGGTAAATTCTTTCCATCTTTTTTTACCTTTTTAGACATTCGCATTTCCCAGCCCGCATATATGAACTGACAAATAGGCAACCAAGCATTCCTCCCAAAACCCATTATCCATGTAATGACCTGCATGCGTCGTCTGAATAAGACACGTGTTTGTCAAGCTTTTCTATTCGTTGAATCCTTAGCTTTTGTATAAAGGCTATAATTATTGAGTCACCGAATTAGCTGGACACCGTTTGTTCCTAAAGGCGAGTTCCGCTTGCATTTTGAAGGCGACACCCTTTTAAAATATGGCAACACTGTTCAACAAGCCTTGCTAAACGTTACCTAGCAAACTTTATTTAAAATGTCACTAAATAAAATTACACAACAATCTTGACGTTATTTTATTTTAGTTGATATAAAGAGCAGAGCAAAAGCGGGTTGAATTGAAAATGCAGTGTAATCCACACAGACTAATCTGGCCTTTTAGTTGTCCCCGTTTCCCTCCCTCTCCACCACCCTTCTCAAAAAACGCTCGTGAGCTTGAAGGCAACGCTGATCCTCCTAACGGCCTTTCCCTTCATCCTCTAGGTCAAATTCCTTTTTTAAGTTTTCGCCATTCTGCATTTGCATTCGTTAGTATGAAATATATCTGCTTCCTCCTCCTATTAGTTTATAGTATGCCTGTTAGTCAACCCAGAGGGACGGGAAAACAGTTATCCATTCATTTAGGTCCCCACCAGGTAGAAGCGTTACAAATTAAACTACTCAAAACATGTTACGAGAACTTACATACACTTTCGTTATTATAACATGCAGATCTTCTCAATAAACGGGTTGACTTAAGATGAAATGTAATTTGTTTTTGAAACATTTCTTCAGGAATACCCAGAATTTGGATTTTTTAGAATAATGCCTAAAATGATAATGTGTATTTGCTTAAAAATAACTATTCTTGTAAACCACTAAAAAGAAAATAAAAAGAAAAGCGTGTTGTCAAAATTAAACTGCATTAATAAGGGTTCAAATATTCGGAGTTAAAGTTGACAGCCTGAAATTATGAAAAATTTGAACCCGAATACTATAAAAGAATGTGAAATAAATCCTAGTATTTTGAATTATAGTTTGACCGATTTGTTTGGCGCAGCTATTTTTATCTTATCGTGCTAAGAGGATTGGAGTGATTTCAACTGCTCTGTTCCGCAGGGTATGGATGTTTCAACATTTTCTATAGATAAACTCAGTTTTTGCAACTAGTTGAGGTTAAACTTGTCTCCTTTGTGGTTTTTGTGGCAGTTATCATTGTGGGATATTTTTTGTATAAGGTTGCGCTTTTTACTTCGATAATTAAATCAGTTACTAAAATTTGAGCACGACTGTTTTTTTTACAGTTGATAGAATGCGCGTGTTCTCGTCATTCTGTCTTTCTTAATTTTAATAGTTAGTCTGCACCATGGTGACACCACTGTTGTAGGTCTCACCCACCGGAACCTTAGCAGCTTTTGTTAAAATAGCACATTAGTTCACGTCATATTGCAGGACGTTTATGAAAGGTTAGGACTATGTTTGTTAAAGAATAAAATGGTTACATTCTCGCACTTAAATCCATACAATGGCTTTATGTTTACCAATATTTTAATGGGGATTTGAAATTCTAATTGCGACCCTCCTAATGCAAAGTCGGTTGTTATGCGAGTTGCGTGCCTATATGCCACGCGCTGTGCATTCTGAGCCGTATTTGATGCTGTTTGTTTGATATTCTGGGGCTGCTTGGTGTTTTTAAAAGAATGTGTTTCACGTAAACATATATATTGATTTCAACCACAATCAAACGTGCTACTGTCTCGCATTGGTTTTATCTTAGACTATACCAACGTTTTACATGTCTTTTTAGTAATTAGGCTGACAAACTAAAATCAGGAGGGACATTTTTCTGACTTTTCTTATACAATGAAGGTAAACTTTATTACTAGTTTCGTTTAAAGCGAAATAAATCGGTATAACATTTTTGGACCAGTAAATTCTGACGCTGCTTAATTAGCGCCGTCACTTGCAACATTTTATAGTCTGCTACCTTTTTAGATTTCGCTGAAATGATAACCAACAAGAAACCAACCAAGGTTAGCACCTTTTTGTTTCTTCACACCTGACCTTGTCACAACTCATTATATGATTCTTCGTTGCTTATGTTATTTAATTTTTGTTGTATAATGAAATGTGCTGTTTTTAAAAGTAAGCTATAATTTAGCATTCGCAGAAGTCCAATTTTAGGGTGCGATTTTTGAAATGTTATTGCGTTTTTGTTTCAGATTATTCAAGATGCTGTGCACGGGATTGTTGAGGTTGAGGGTCTTCTCATGCGTTTTATTGACACGCCAGAGTTCCAGCGGTTGCGACGGTTAAACCAAGTTGGTGTCACGCGCTATGTCTATCCTGTTTGTACGCACACGAGGTTCGAGCACAGCCTCGGCACCTACCATCTCACAAAACGACTCCTTGATGCAATTCAGGCGGACCTAAGTAATGAAGTAATTCGACTTACCGAGGGTGAATGTACAAGTCTCATGCTAGCAGCGCTTTGTCACGACCTTGGTAAGGTTTACGAACAGTAAATTATATAGCACATATTTTGGTTAGTAAAACAATATATAGAAAAGTTTATTAATTCGGTTTTTTGGTTTCTAAATATTACGTGTTTTGTTGATCTTAAGTAGTTTGCAATCTTTTTAAAATACATATCACTACGCCTGAAAACAGCTTCTTTTACTGCCAATTTTCCACAACAGTAACATTAATAATTCCTTAGACCACTTTGTCGTTTTGTGTCAGTGGGTTTGAAGTCATATTCTCTTATATGCCCACTAGTTTTGTTCTCGTATTCTGAGAGCGTTTTCCTTTTCTGAAGAGTTGGCTTTGACAGCACAGAAAAAAACTCAAATTTCACTGGTATTTAACCTGTATCCATTAATATTGCCGGACTTCTCAAAATTCTTCACTCATTGTAAAGATCATTTTCAATCGGATGGTAAATAATTATTGTGTGTATGTTAATTCACTTAAATCAACAATTTTACTCAACCCTGTCAACATAAAGTAGGACCAAATTCCGAAACGTTCTATAAAATGTTGGTTAATGATGTCCCCAAATCACTTTTCGGATAACATATTATTCTGAAGAAAAGGTGGTTAGCGCATATTTATTTCCTTTTGTCTCATCTTGTTTTGTTAAGGAGTAATGAAACAAATTTGGACCCCAGAGTGAATGTCACCATCAAATGTGTAATCTTCATCCTTAGCATTTATACTACGAACATATGGAACCAATTTCTGTGTCCGCCGTTTCTGTTCATAGACTAACAGTTGAAAGGATGGGTCCAGAAAGTCATCTTTATTCCTGGACATGTAGTTAAGCTAATGAGAAACCAGTTCTGTTCTGAATCGAATCCGAATCTGGTCTTCCACAGAAACCAAGATTTCATAATTGGGATTCCAAAGTTCATAGGTGAAAATCTTCCGGAGTTCTCCTTTGTTTGGTATCGGCATTTGTTGGCACTACAGCACTTTTAAATGGCAGCTTTTAACAAAGTGAGGGAGTCTCACTTAAGACTATGCATGGGACTGGGGCTGTGTTGGCTTCGTCGTAGATGTGGAATTTGGTTCTTGACTTTCTTGCGATCAGATTTTCCAGAGTAGTAGTTTTATTTTCGGCAGGCTTCTTTAAATTTTAATGCATTTTTGCAATGCGAGGTTCTCCGAATGTTCCGTTTACTGCTGAAAAGCAGTATTTAGCTTTTACGATGTAAAATGTCCGAAATATTAGTGGTGTGGTTTCAATTACTTGAAATAGGCTTGAACTCGTTCAGTCAACAAGTATTTTAGGATCTTTGTGGTTAGCTTTTAATATTCTACTACGGGACATTCAAATCTTTTGTTTCTTTTTACGAATTTTTTGAATCCCTGCCATATATATGAAAACGGATGTTCTTTTAATGCTGTTTTGAAAAAAAATCTGCAAGTTATGTGATATCAAATAATATTAGGCATGGCATTGCCTTTCTTGTTGTGACAACGAAAAATCTCACTATTCGCTCACTACCTATGTCATGCAAGAAGGCAGCAGCAAATGACTTACCCTAGTTTATTTTTAAGTAATGGTTATTTGTCTTTAACTATTTCTGCATTTTTCTGTGATTCCTAGGTCATGGACCATTCTCACATACTTGGGAACGTTTTCTTGCTCAAGGAGGGACTCAATACGAGGTTTTCAAGGCCAGTACATTTGTCAAATTTCTGTCTGTCCAGCTTAAAATCTAGTGCAATGTTTTCTGAGTTTTTGCCTGAAAAGCCCTAAGTATCTATATTGCCAGGGCCTATGGGCAGCCGATCACCTCTAATAGCCATTCTGCATTGGATTTTCCTTTGTCTACTTGGGCAGTTGAAACGTTTTTAGTGGGACTGCAACTATTTAAATCTTTTCATCACCTGTTTCATTAAAAACGTACTGTAAAATTTCCGGCTTGGCCTTCAATAGGTATCACAGGTGCATCAGGACTTGTTTTGACATAATTTTGAGATCAGTGTTCACTTTTGTATTAAGTCCGAGATTGTTAAGCGTTTAATTGGTACCCTTGAAAAAAAATGAATCTGATACAAATTAGTCTGTTTTGATATTGAACGAATATTTCGGTTTTGAGTGGGACAGTCTCGTGTAAATTGTATCAAATAAAAGAATCCCATGTGAATCCCTCTCCTTATCTCTTTCAGCACGAGGAGATAAGTTGTCGCATAATCCAGCGCATTGTGAACAAGGATGAGCATTTGCGAACCCTGTTGAACGATGCTGGAGTGGACCTCGACCTTGTTTATGCCCTAATCCGTGGTCACGCAACCCCAGAGCTTAAGGTGTGTGCCACTTCTGCTCATTTTTGCTAAGTTTGGCATTTGTGTTCAAACGGTCTGTACTGCTTCATTCACAATTCCCTCTGCGCTTGGAATCAAAAGTTGGGATTCGCAAGACTATTAAATGCATACACGTCAGACCAAATTTACAGCTTATGTGTCGGTCCAATGCAGAATTGTTTAAAGTCCGCACCTAAAATCACCTTCTCTTACACTAGTTTTAGAAAGAAAAGATTTGAATAGGAGGTTGATAATTCACTTGTACATCACTGGGAGATTGGATGGTGTACATACTCCTGCACTGTTTGTTTCTAAAACCCAATCGAATTTACATTTTCCCCATTTTTAGAAAAGACTGAAAGAAAAGACCTATATATTTGAGGTAAGTATTGATTACATTTGTATTTTGTCAATTTTTGATGCGGCCGGTGTATTTCGACTTTTACCATCCGCATTTTGCTGATTTTTCTGAGTTAAATTGGACGAAGTAGACGTGTTTTGCAGGCTATAAGTTGACCAGAACCTACTATTGCTGTTTTACGAGGTGTCCTGGCTATAATTATTTATAGTTCCTTGCTGTGATGAATAAGCTTAGTTCGTTGACAGTTTGGACGATGCTTAAAGGCGTCAACTCGAATTTTCCTCATTCTCCAAACCCTATCAATACTTGTCGGATTTAGAATGTGCCACTTCAGTTGCACGGCGAATGCACTTGGAAAATGCAACAATCTGCCATAAGTGACTCATTTTAGCTATATTTCATCCTTCAGATGAGAGACTTTTTAAAGAATTTGACTTTCTCATGAGTGTTTCCTTTTGTGACGAGCGATTGTTACATCATTGGTCGCATTTAAAGTCCCGATTGTTTGTGCAGTACAAGGATGAAAGCAAACACATCCCTGGTGTGCAAACAGCGCTTACAGGTAGCCGGGCAATGGAGCTGTGGTGATCAGGATCACACAACGATCCAAATCAGGTGCATTTAGTGAATTGATATGACTTGTCTGGTTGCATGCACAGGGGTACAGTGCCCCGTATGCAACCGTATGAATAAAACGCAACCACAAGTAGCTATTTCCCAATTGGGCAATCGAAGGCTTATGAATATGACTTAAGGATCAAATTTGGGGGCGATTATTTCCTACTATCCTAACTATGTACTCCTTCCCATTTTGTAATTGTATTATCAAATAAAATAGGTCCATGTGACAGTTGTTCACGCTGTTTAAACATCTAAACATTCCTGATAATATCTCTTTAAGTCTAAAATTCAGAATAAAAACTGCGTGTAGCTTAAGAGATAGTCAACTGACATCGTCTGAAGGTTCATTGTCACTTTCTTTTTCTCCAGAATAATTATTGCTTGGAGCGTGTGTTTACGCTCTACGTGCCTTGCCTCTTCTACGTGATTGTGTTTTGGACACTTATCTGACGATCCCCATTGATTTTCTTAGGATGTCCTAACTGACATCATCTTTGTTGTTTAGCACGAACATCTGGGCTAAAAGCTTAAGTAACTTCACAAGACGTAGAATATTTTGGCGTTCAAATGGACCCTAACCTGGTTAAGCGGTTTTATAATTATTTTAAATCGCCCTATTTTAACAGATTATTTCGAATTCCCTGAATGGTAACGATGTGGACAAGTGGGATTACATTATGCGCGATTCATTTCATGCCGGTTTGGGTCAGGGTTCCTGTGTAATTGAGCTAGAGCGCTTACTCCGCTTCTACCGCCCTGCTTATCACGCCTCCGACGACTCCTGGCACATGTCCTTCCGAGTGTCTGAATTGGAGAATGTCATGCGCGTCTTCACGCAACGACTGCGTCTTCGTAGCAGCGTATACGCTCACAAAACGACTCTCGCCATTGAAGCCATGTTCATTGACATCTTCAACGCGCTTGACCCAGTCTTGCATCTTCGTGATCTGTCACTCAGAGCGGCCACTGGTGACAACAGCGCCCTGGATGCCTTTCTGCGAATGGATGAGCACTGCATATGGGGAATAGCCTCTTGTTATTCCATTTGGCCATTTAAAATTTTGCCAGACATGGCGGAGAATTTACGGCGTTCTGCGTGTCTTTGCGAACGCATCCAAACGCGACAACTTTACTCCATCGTAGGTTGTTTCTATGCAGTCAGGGAAATAGATGTTGTGAATGCTCAGGAGCCCCTGGAAGTGGATTGCGAAGCGTTAACCGCAAGAAAAATCGTCTTGATGGCCACATTGTACGATGCAGATAAAGGACAGAAAAATGCCATCCAAAGAGAAGTAAGATGTTTTTTCCGTTGATTTGCAGTTATATGCCAGTGCCCTAGCTGTTTAAAAACACGTTTTTTTCTTAATTCTAAATCATGAAGTTAGTCACCTTTGTTTAGCGCTTTTATGCCGCCCTGAGGCGAAGGAGATGAGCACTGTGTTGGCTTCAGTGCTAATTACGTAAAATTTACATAAGCCTGAGTTAAATAAAAGAATATTGCTAGGTGAGACGAAAGTGGTTAGCTTTAATGAATTTTCTACTGTGACCATTCGAATTAATCACGTGTCGATTTAAACTAACGTACCTGTTTGTTTGTGCGTTGCATCATTGTTGCCAGTCGCTTTTGAGGACTTCTATTGCATCAGAGCAACTTTAATGCAGTTATCGTGACGGGCCTGCATATAATCAGGATGAGTTTGTAGATTCTAGGAACGGAGTCTGAAATTTTGGAAGAAATTTTCGCAAAACTCCCGCACAACTCTCCCGTTCGAAGTGTCCGTGAGCTCCGCCTTGTAAGCGACCTTCAGTCCTCCAATTCAACTGACGACCCGCCTACCTTCTTTGTGTACCGAACGCTAGCTGACACATTTTCAATTACACAACCGGTAAGTGACTTACAAAAGTATTCGACATAAAAGGAAAAAATGTACCTGAAAGGCTCGGCAATTCACCTGAAGTTGTCTTCTTATGCCGGCTATTAAACCCAGTGTCACAGAAAAGTAAAACGTGTCAATCGCTGAAACCACGCTTTCTTATGTATCTCTTCGGTTGCTATTCACAGCGGATACTACTCACTGCCTTTTTAGTTAACAAAAGTGTGCTGCTTCCTCCTGTTATGGTCGGGTCCCTTCCAGGACGACGAAGACGGCCCCCCACTGCACACACCGTCACCTGTGCCACCATGTCTGACCGAGGCCTTGGAGGCTTGGCGACGCGAAAAGGTGGAAGCAACGGCACTCCGCTGGGGCAAACTCACCAGCAAACTGTGAACAAGGCGCTAGCTATCACTTTTTGTACCTCCTTTCCTTTTTTATCCAAGCCCACTCGACAACGTGCCAACTTGACTTTCAAATTCTCGCCTTTTTGCACACGCTCAACCTGCAAATTCCTACAACTCAATGGCGTTAGTAATAAAATATCACGCAATCATCCCGCCAAAGAGACTATACCATCTAACTGGACGACAAAACATCCGATCTGCTAGATAAAGAGACAGCTTTCGAATTGCACACGGACGCGCACAACAATTACGGAAAGCCGTTCACGTACTAAGCACGGATAAAGTGTAGTTTGCATACTATTTAAGCATTGTCCAATGACCGTCCACGAGAATACTGTTCATGGGAGTTCTTTTTTTCCACACATTTAACTAAAAATAGGTACATCCAGAAACCGTTTATGGCAAAACTTAAGGCAAATATACATCGAAATAGTGTTTGGCCTGTCAAGAAGTACTCGACTGTACAGTTCAGTTACAACAGTGGCATCAAGTGAATTCCTTCACCGCGATTCTAGTTTGAACATTCAAACACGCGAGTTCGTAGGTCAGGTAACGGAAGGCTGCAGGCACATCAATAAGAAGCAGTTTATTGTTGGCCGCAGAAACCTGACCGGAGGACGTCGTCTGACTGCATAGACGGCATCGCCAGCGCACCTTGCGAGCGAGACTGTGGCCCCGTTGCTGGATGCTCGACGACGAACGCGTTATGGTCTCGTCGCTGATGAGGTCCTCGTGAACCATCCCACCACAATTCGAACAGACCAACATCTTTAAAAAATACAAAATCACAACTTAAACTTGATCCAAAGAAAGCCGATTTACGAAACGTGTAAAAGCCTGTGGTCTGAATTCGCTGAGTACTTGCAACAACAGTGAGACGCGGGTAGAGTGTCGCGCTAGCCCAAATTCCGTGGGTTGCCGCCACACGGTGGTTTACTTGCTGATGCGTTACCGAGAATCGCCTAAGCTCTTAAAAAGCGTCACAGGCCTTGTCATTGTGATCAAAAACAGCTAAATAAATGCCAGAAACCGTCCTGTAAATAATCGAGACCGACTAACCTTAACTTTATCACAGTTTGAGCCTAGCAGTCGGTCTTGGAGAGTGAAGGAGAGACCGTGGGAGAGAAGGCAGTCGCGTTCCATTTCGCCGAGGCGAACACCGCCTCCAACCTTGCGACCCTTGATCGGCTGACGCAGAACCGGATCAAAACGACCCTCAGCTCGCACCTGCAACACAGCAATTGAGGTATTATTTGGTGTGTAAAAGGTGGTCGAATACTGGTGTATTTTCCAGTATAGATTAGCAGTCGCATGACTAAGAGCAACGGCAAATGAAGCCGAAGCCGGACCTCCTTTCCCCAATAAATGTTGCACTTCCCATTTCGCAAAACCTCTGTAGGTCCCATTAATGTTTGGCTTATTGCGTCAATATTACTCGGAGTAATGAGCAGAAAATTATTTCATGCAAGCAGAGCACTATCAACAGGTACTCTGTGCACAAACCAAGCTGACGAATGAACCACACGAACAGATGACACAATGTGGCAAAAAAGGCATGCAACTCAGAAATGGTGAAAATCTAACATCTTCGTTGCCGAGGTTTGCTGCTGACAATCATTCGAACAGTCGGGTGATTCTTCAAAATAACTACAATTATAATAAAATGGAGAAATAAAAGGCCTCCGGTGTCACATCCCGCATCAGAAATAAGCAGTTAACGAACCTGATATTTGTCAGCTACCATATGCCGTAGCCGCTGGTAGTAGACAACACCGATAAAGATGTGCGCTTCTAAGAGGCGCCCTGTCACACCGGACATCATCGCTTCCGTGCCCCAATAATTGAAACCAGCGTTGGTCAGCTGATCTGCATACTCCGAGAAGGGTGGCTTTTCTTCAGTCCACTGAAATGGAGTGGCGTCGACACGTTGGCCTAGTCGACACAAACAAAAGCACTTATTACTTTTCGCAGGGAACTGTGAGCCACGCTTGATTTTGTCACTATGACGTGATACAAATCATCCGGCTAGAGCGTTAGTACTCGTCGTTGTGTACATGTTTTGGGGAGATTAAACCACGTATATGCCAACTGCCAGTTTCAAAATAATTTCACGGCCGTAACAAGCCCGTAAGTTGCGAGGTGTGCATATTAACACCGGAGTTGTGGACGCAAACCGAGTTGACTAAGCAGGCCACGAGGGTCACGTTTACAGTGACCTAGACAATTCAAGTCCTTAAATGAATGATCAAACAGAAACTGTTCTCTCCAGATTAATTACATTTTCGTGAATTTACTCTACGTAAAAACACTACGGAGTTTATCAACAAATAATTAAAATAAATGCAGTCGGGAATTGCAATATAAGGTTAGAAGCCCACAAAAAACATCAGTTAAGTATAAACAGATGTGCGGAAGACTACTGCTTCAAAATGTGCATGGTAGGGCCAAACGAAATCAGGAACCGCTTCGAGAGCTGGCACGAATAGCAGTGCCCCAAAAAGTGATCATTTTGGAAACTTAATCATGATTTCTGACACTAAAAACGGGCAAACGCACAACTTCTGTGTTAACAAAATATGACTTAAAGGGCAGTCACATTAAACCCCAAATTCCGCGCCCTGTACTGAAACAATCACCACCAGTTAACTGAAAAAGTAAAAGCGTAGCATTCAAAAACTGCATTATAAAGCTATGAAATACTGACCTGTCAACGCAGCTGATTTGCCAGCAAGGAACTCGATCATCATGCCCATGGTCATACGTGTGGGAAAGCCGTGGGGATTGAAGATAAGATCTGGCACGATGCCGCTATCAACAGTCCATGGCATGTCATCGGCAGGCACAAGGATGCTGTTGATGCCCTTTTGGCCGTGACGGCTACTGTACTTGTCACCGATGTCTGGCCTCCGTGGCAAACGCAGCGTTATACATGCCTGATAAATTTAAAAATGTACCAGCTAGTTTCCACTCTGAACAGGAACACTTTTTCACAGTGTAAATGCCCTTGCAATTATCGCACAATCCAGAAGCGTGTTCACAGAAAGTAAACTCCGAAAATTCGCGGGAACTACTGGGGACTTTCGGTTAGAAAGCTCCCACCGTACACATTAATAATACGCACGTTGAATATTAGCACGTCCGTGAAGTGTTACGTTTAACTCCAGCGTTTTCAGTCTTCCAAACGGAGACATGAATTGGAGAAAGAACAAAGATAAAATGGCGCACTACCACAGTTCGTTTTAAGACACGGAAAGTGTAGTAACTGCAAAAATCACACCGCACCTTGCTCCAACTTCCATTGAGAGAAATCGCTTCCACATAGGCGATCTGCTCACCATCCTTGTAACGAACGGCAGTCATTTCCATGGTCTCATAATGCGTGTAGACGTAGAGAATACTCTTGCCCGGTATGAGGCGCGTTCCAATGGGTGGAAAGCCATCGATGTCAATATTTGGTGGAAGTTCGGCGGGCCCGCCTGAATCAAAAATGAAGCAGCGCGAATTTGTACACTTTGTTAAACACGTGAGCACCTGACAAATTTCTAAAACACTGAGAACGAACCAAAATAATGCTCCGTCTGTTTTTTCCTTTGTCCTTTGATAGAATAATCGGCCAAATCGATAACCTCAGACTTGTAGATGCAGGCGTCTGCGAAACCCCGTTCATAGGAGCTTTTGTTAATAACCATTGCGTCTTCCATATCATAACCCTAGTAAGCAAAGACAACTCCTATAAACAAATTACCAGGGTAAAGAGCTAACAGAGGGGCGGCTACCCGTGTGAGCGTCAACAACTTCCACGTGTATCCAATACAAAAAATCAAACGAATATACCTGTCTAACGGAATCAAACAATATTCGTTTATGTGTGCTATTGAAATAATTCGGCGATGTCCATTGCAGTACATTTTCCACAGTAACAAGCGACTGAATGTGGTTTGCTGGCGTTACAGTGGTGCAGGTGCGACTCACTACCTGCCTCATCAGATTTTAACCACACGGGAATACCGAGGACGGATATTAGCAGATGTTCTAGGACTTCTTCGATTCTACCCAGCAAATATTTGTGTTGAATAAAACAAAAGCTTATTCACTAAAGCCTGCACACGACTCCTTTGAGGCTCAAGGACGTAATCAGTGCTATTTCTGACTTTACAAATCGAGTAATGACACAAGTTAGTTAGCCTTGGTTCGAAACACCAAATTACGAGACTCATTTTTGTCAGCGGGACTTGTTTTGCCTCAAAATGTCCCTCATTTCGGTGGAAAGCCTTGCGTGTGTATAGAAAACCACGAAAAAAAACTAGGCCTTACGGTGTAGGACATTACGGCCACAACAGCATTAAATCCAAGAGGATAGTGGTCGACGTTGTACTTGTTGTATGATTTGGTGCGCACAAGCGGACTCTGGGGAGTGAGCAAGCGGTAGATCTTGGGGTCAGCCCGATGCCTCCAAGTGTACGTCGAGTGACCCATTGTCTGTTTAGCCATCTGACACTGGTACATGTTACGTGGTGACTGAAGGGGAATAGAAGTTAATATTGTAAAAAAAATTGAACATGCAGATCCTAGAAACGTTTAAAGCAAGTCAATAACAAATGCTGTTCTTCAGGCATGTGAGAAACAGTGAAACAGATGAGTAACCAAAGGGAACTACGTCTGGCTTGAAATACTAAAACCACTTGCGATTTCGGTAAGTACTGGACAGAGCTGACATCGTTTGTCAAACGACTCGTAGAATGGCATTCTCAATACTGAGGCTTACTGCTTTTGTGGCGTAGTCGTTCTATTTGTGCACAATTAAAAGACCCATCTTGGGGCTTTTGGGCCCCAAAGTAAAACAGATTGAAAATGAGCGACTCCACTCGCTCGGACACTTTCAACACATCCAACATCACAAAACATCGAAAACCGGTCACTAGCACACTACTGGTACTAAGAGCTAGGAAGTTGTAGTAATGCACAGTTCCTAGTGCTCTATGAGTCGTACACTCACTTGATTAAAGTCTGGATATGGTGTAAGACTGGCGGTAAAGCTGAAAATAGATTCTGGGGACACCTCAAAGTGCCTTCTCTCAGCAACAGGGCGCTCCATGAGTTCATCTAGTGTCACTGCAATATCCATGTAAGGCTGTTCAAAAGTGCCGATCATCTCGATCTCGGCCTTATCAACATTTTCTGGGCCAACGCGAACAAGGCTTTTAACGGGTCGCAAAAGACGCGAACCTCCGACAAAGAGGTACAAACCCGGGAATTGGCTTCCTGTCTCAGTGGGTGGCACCAAACAAATCTCCATGGTAGTGGGAACCTGTGGACAGTTGGGATCTAGCTTCGCAAATCGTAATTCATCAGCTAGCTGCCTGGCAGACTGAACAGAGGGGGACCAACCGACAAGACGGCCGTCAAGGAGAACAGGAAAAACGTCGCGATATTCATTTGCAGCTGTCAGTTGACGCGTCAGCTCTACAGGCCGCAAGTTGTGTTCCAGAAGCCATATAGCCAGTTTGTTTACCAAAGCGTGGCTTGGAGTCACGCACACCGCCTAACCAATTAAAAAAAATGTTGTTAAACAAGTAGTAAGTTGTACATACGCAACAGGTTCCAACATCTCCGAGCAATAGTCCTTAAATTGTCGCTAAGGCCTAAAGTACATTAAGATGGTACCAGTTTTAATTTAATCGCACCAAACACTAGAAGATGCCTGGATCTGATCCCTATATTGCATCAACAACGAAAACTGGCCCAAACTACTAGCTACAGCAGAACATGTTTTTTTTAAAGAATGAATACGACACCTAACAGAATTAAGCAGTTTTTTCGCGTTTAAGTCAAGAAAATCAAATTTTGTGGAAGGCGCTTATACGGTAACACGGCTACATGGAAGAACGACGCCGAAAACAAAAAAATAATTTCTCACTTCAGTACTCTCGGCAAGGTGATTCAGTAGACCACAGGGCGCGCCGTCAGGAGTATGCACAGGGCAGAGGAAACCCCAGGCTTCGGGTAGAAGACGCCGCACCGATGTAGTTCGCATATCATTGAACATGGCTCCACGATGAACAGCGCGAAATTGAGCTGCGAAGCGCAAGAAATTGACAGTGTCCAACGGCACGGAGAGGCCAGAAGCTTGTCCGTTCAGAAGCCGACCAATGATGGCTCGAGAGGAACCCGGCAAATTTCCATTGGCAACGAAAAAGCTTACTCCGTTGATAACCTCTGAGATGTTGCGAGCCAGCGCATGGCGAATATTAACTGCAGATGGAGCGATGGGATTTAGTGCAGAAATGAGCGCAGACTAATTAATCATAGAATGTCGTATGAAAAATAATGGTTTGTTTAAGAGTTACTTTCAAGACGCTAGCGAAACAAAAGGCATATATTCGTCAGTTTTTGGCAGCAGACTTGGAAACCTCAGTAGGTAGGCGTTTTATTGTATGTACTTAAGGCATTTTGAAGTGTTTTCAGCTAATCAGATGCTAGGTAAAGACATCGCCAGTATGCTAAAATATGCTAGCTTATTTAACCATATTTTTCAGCTGCCCATTCCCCTGCGTTGGTACACACGAAGCTTTTCCAGGTAAAATATGTGAAGCATTCGCCACTGAAACGAAATTGCTCATTTTGTCTTTGGTAGTTTTAAATCCCATTGCTCTGGCGATAACTCTGTGGCAAAGTAGGCAAAAAGCACAGGTTCCAGCACAACACTGGATTTCACAACAGTTTTTGGAAGAGAACTCGTTAGTTGCTTATGTGAGTCTAAAGAGTAATTTGGAATAGATATTTGGATATTGGCAGTGAAGTCAATTTCGAACGGCAAGAATAGATGAAAAAGCAAACTGCACTTACTTATTTCAAGGGGCTTCGTCGATTTCCGGGAATGTAAATAGAGTTGTTCACGAACAGTGTGCAAGTAAGTGATCAGTCTATTCTAAAATGCATAATAATGTCACGATGCAAAGTGGAGTAGAACGAGCCCAAGTTACACTTTAGGTTCTCAATTTTGGGTATTATCACAGTTACGTCGTCAAGTGTACATTCACTGTATTACACAACGACCAAGACGGGCGAAAAAACGAAAACAAAAACTCACTCGAAGGACTTGAATATACATAGTTCCTGGAAGGAGAACTTCTTGAAACATTAGATTATCGTTGCTTTCCTGACAGCACGCTCCCGAAACAAATGCATGCAGCTTTCGAACCATGTAGCTAAAAAATTGTTTATATGGAATTTCGATTCGATAATATTAAGAGATTATAATAACGAAACGAACCAAAGTACGTGGTACTTGTCAGCAAAACTGTCCACATGAATGATTAGGTACTCCCTAGAAAAAAAAAATTCAGAGTGATGGCATGCAAAAGTAATACGACAGCGAATCATGGAACGATGCTTATACCTCATCAAGTGTTCGCCAGCGGCTCGATCGGTGTAGGATCCTGGAAGATGCATTTTGAGGCGAAATAATTTTCCAAGGTAACAAAGTGCACGAGACTGACAGTTATAATCATCTTCCTGAAGTCTCGTTAGAATCCTCATGGCGTGCCTAAGGCGACAGTTTCCGAGAACAATTATAAAACATACTCTTCGAGCGATAATGAGTTACCACCACCACATCGAATATCTTCGTAAATTTCGAGTTCTGTTTTATCCATAAGTGCACGCAAAAGAATTGAAATGGGAACAAACAATTGTTCATTTTCGACAGTGAAAGCCAATATTGGTTCACCATTCATTACCCAATGCAACATAATCAGCTAAAGAATAAACGAAGGACATGAGTGTGTATGTTGAACATTTCAAAGATAATAATGTATGGGGCATCTAAATGTTCCCTTGCACTACAGAATTCTGAGGCATTTTAATATAAAGTCATAACAATCACAACTTGATTTAGGAGTGGAAGACTCGAAATACAGTTGAACGATTTAACTACGGAAAAAGATTATTCATTAGAAAAAGAATACATTGTAACACTGATTTACCGAAGAATGCTCATCGTCCCTTACGCAGCGCATAATAACAGAAAATTCTGTATAACTTGGGCCTCGCTTTTTGAACGACGATCTAGTGATGGCAAGTGGCTAAAGCGAAAAAGTGTCAATACATACCAGAAAAATAGAAATCATCTAAGAAATTGTCTTACATAATTTCGACGCGCCATAATGAGCAATCGAAGGAGTCTTTCTTTACCATTTACGATGAAATAGCCACCAAGTTCATGTTCTTCTTCGTTATGTCTTATAAATTCAGACCGAGGTATGTCTGAGAGGTTGCATGCGTTGGACAAAATCATGATGGGAAGTTCGCCATTACTTACATCAACGATACCCATGTCGCAACCATTGCGCCGAACCTTGACAGTGATTGCAAGGTTTCCGCCGTAAGTCTGGCCAGTACGGCGACACTAGACACCAACATTCAGAACGCCTATATAACCCACCTCGTGTGGAAAAATTGAGACACTTTTTCTATCATGAGCGCGCGGGTGGCTTATTTCGACAGACTAAACCGTGTATCAACACAAATAAGGACTTACTTCGAAGTTTAGTGAATATTCATCTCCCTGGGGTGTTGTTATATATACAGGCTGCATATACTAAAACGATAGGCAATTACAATAGTTCGCACTTTGACCATTCTTTTCAGTCCACTTTTTAACATAAAGTTAAAGGACTGGATGTGCATTCGCGCAAGCCCATCCATGGCAAAATCAGCACGTGCGCAGCGTAGTGTGATGTGCGGTGTGGTGTGACTGTGGTGTGGTGTGGCGTCGGATTAGGGCGCAGACATGTTGGGCCACCTGGTCTCAGCCAATCCCGTGTCTCTCTGCGA